AAAGATACACATCTGGGGATTAATTTCACGAAAGAGGCAGATACACTATACACATTAAGTCGTTAATTGAAAAATATCAACTCATACCTGGAAAACTACTCCAAACGAACCAGTTCCCACAACACGTTCTGCCATGTATGTAATGGTCTAAATAAATTGTAACGAAAAGTTTAACCTCCTAGCAGATTAAAAAACAATTTCAAATAAATCACGATGTAGAAGATGAGAAACCAACCCTTTTGGGTTCACCGTTTTGTCCGCCAATTGTGGTGGAAATAATGTGACCAGTGACTGTGTCATTCCCTTCAACTATAGCGGCGGACATTCCCTACGATTCAGACAAAACCAAAGATCAATGTAAATAAAATAGAACGCTCAACAGATCTTTTAACAGTCATCAAAGATCTGAAGTAGTTCAGTGGCAGGATTCAGGAATTCATCACTTGGGTGATCCAAAAAGGTATAAGGACATGCACTTGTGCCGGAAGAGAGAGAGACAGAGAGAACAATTTTTAGATGCATTAAAAAGCTTAAACTGGTGTCACATGTGACAAAGCTTGCAATCTAGAGACTGCACAAGGACCAACAACAGTAGGCAATTGTATGGTGTAAACTCCATAATAAATTGAAGCCCAATTTCGCTGAAGTTCAAGAAATTGGCTAAGAGCTTACAAGAACTTTGACAAACGTCATCATTTACGATAATCACAGCCCAACAGAACTGAAAGACACAAAAACATCAATGACAACTTAAGGGATCTCCCATGGATGCATAGCCTTCATGTTTACTTTATAAGGAATAAGTTTTCGATTATAAAGATGTAAAAGTCTTACTCCGGTTAAAAATGGGTAGCATCAAATTAAGTACAGGCTATAAGCTCATAGGTTTTGTAAATCCGACTAATTACAACCTGGATATAGTTAGCCTTGAGAGCATGATACACATATATGGAAAAGTCCAGAAACAGATCTTTAAAGCCTGCCAGCTATCTGTAGAGCTAAAGATTTGTTCTCCACTAAAGTGAAATCAAGTTGAAGGACATAAATCTAGGGCACAAGAACAGCTTGATGTTCGCTCGAGCTATCTCTAATATCACAACGCAAAAATATCCCTAGCTCATACTCCGCCACGCACTCAAGCTCCTCCAATCTCCAGCACTCCCAGCTAGATCGAAGCGAAATCCTAGCTCGCTAAAGAGACAATACGAAAGGGGGGGGGGGGGGGGGGGGGG